TCCAATCAACAACACTGTAACACCACATGACTCCAATCAACAACACTGTAACACCACATGACTTCAATCAACAACACTGTAACACCATATGACCCCTGTCAACAACACTGTAACGATGCTGTCACTCACCATGTCCACCAGGGCAACATACATGAATAACCCAGCGGTGAGGGCAAAGATCCACATGGACACGTTCTCCGCGTAGTGTCCAATCAGAATCCCCGTGGCCATGCCCAGGTACGCCATCATGGCCGACAGCACGTTGTACCAGATGGCCTGCTTCACCGTCATCCCCGCCTTCAGCAGCACCGCAAAGTCTCCTGGGAAGTGCAGGACATAATAATCAAGTCAGTCAAGCCAAACTTTCTATCAAGGCGAGACACGACAAGCAACATTTTACTTTCAGTTTTCATGTACTTTTATTTCAGTAAAAAACAAGTGAAGAAGGTGAGTAGTCAGTTTTGCTGCTGGTGGTTCTTACCGAGTTCATGTGGCAGCTCATGGCAGAACACAGCTACACTGGTGCTCAGGCCACTGGACAGGCCCTGTGTGAATGCAGCTCCTGCGCAGAAACACAGAGAGAATCAGACCGGCAACCTCACATTCTCATCAACAAGCACATCATTGGGTTATGTGCGTTATTTAATCATACAATGTGCATGTACAGGGTATCTCCAGGTTTGACTGCCCCAAATTTAAGACTTTTTTACGACCTTTTTAAGACCACTTAGATGAAAATTAAGACCAACACTGCACCCATTACGCGGGCGAAAAACACCAGATCCAATAATGACCATTAATCGCTGCTTTAAATAACAAATAAATACTTTAAAAATTATAAAATCTCATTCAGAACTCATTTATAGTAGTATGCATTGCTTGTAAAATGGCCAAAAAAATCATTTATAAACATTCTGACAAGGTAAAGTAAGGATTGGTATTGTTTGCACATACTCCAAATTTGACGTTCATTCATGTTACAGTGATTTCATTTTTTTGTTGTTGTTTGTTTTCCTCCCTCTGTTTAACATGGCACTGCAGCCCGGTTGAGTAAACAAAAAAATAGGGTAATGAAATTTAAGATGTTTGTGAAAAAAATAAGACTTGGACAACATAATTTAAGATTTTTTGAGCCCTTAATTTAGGAACATGAAATTTAAGACCTTTTTAAGACTTTTTAAGACCCCACGGCTGCCCTGACGTAATGTGACAAATTATTCTGTCCACATATCCACAGAGAACCAAAAGTCAGATTTGTCTTACCAATAGCCAGGCCATCGCTGAAGTTGTGCAGGCCGTCCCCCATCACCACCATCCAGGCGAGCGAGGCGATGCCGCCGCCCTCCTGCAGACGGCTCATCCCGTGGGAGTGTGAGTGGGAGTGGGGGTGGTGGTTCTGGGAGTGGTGGTGGTGCAGGATGTGGTGGTAGTCGTGGTGATGGTGATGTTTGTGGTCGGCCTGTCCCACCGTGTCGTGGAAGTGGGAGTGGCACTTGTTCTCACAGTCCTGCTCGGTGTAGCCCTGCGCCGAGAGGACCTGCACCGAGGGAGTGAGCATCACCTGCTCCTCCTCCGCCACGCCAGCAGGGACCGCCGCCTCCACCTCTGCGCAGACACATCAGGCACAGACCACAGACTGTATAAACAAGTGGACTGAGGGAGTATGACGTCACCAACAGCGTTCAGCTCCAGTCGAGTTCCATATTTATAATTCCAACTGCGAGCACCATGGCCCTGACACATCATAGGGCAGGCATGTCCAAATTATGGCCCCTAGACCAAATGGGGCCCTCAGACAATTTTTTCTTGGCCCACAGGCTTCCAGGTGAATTGGCCCAAATTACCTTGCATCAATTAAAAATTAACTTTTTACTGCAAGATTTTCAAAAATCTACCTTGATAAAACTAATATTTTAGTATTTAGTGTGTGGTTTTAAGGATCTTAGCATGAATAAAGACTGACGGCTCATTCTAACGTGATAAACATGCACATATTTCAATTTTTCACTGTATTGAGCAACAGTTTATGGCCTTCGATCAGCCCTCTGCTTCATCTATGTTTAGATATGTGGCCCTTGATGAAAAAAGTTTGGACACTGCTGTCATAGGGCTTTTATCATCCAGAAGAACACCTGGGTGAAATTGCATTGACACTCAAGTAGCATTCCAGTAACGTCATAGGACCTGTTCACACTGATCTAGCAAAGACTGGACTGAAGGTGGAGTCTGTCTGCCTCAGGAGAACTAGATTCAACATGTATTAGAGTGGGATGTTTCCTTCTGTACAGAGAAACTTCTAAATGTCTCAGTGCAGATTGGACATGGTGAACAAACTGAATAGTACGTTGGCATGTAATGTTTTCTATTCCACAGCGCAGAGCACCGTGTGAAAACCACCTAAGTGATCAGAATACTGCAGGTGTCTTCAGAGAGGAGAGCTCACCTTCATGGTTCTTGAGCAGGTCCTCCTTCAGCACGGCCTGCTCCTCTTTGTCCTGAAGCTCGGCCTTTTTCTGAGTCTGTTCACAAACAATAAACTCACTTTTAGTCGGGTTTAATGTGGCTTAATGTGATTTAATGTGTCGTCATGACCTTGTTCTTCTTGTCCTTGTACATCTTGCCAAGTGTGAGGAAGTGTTCGATGAGGAACATAAAGTAGACTCCTCCCAGAGCGGTCAGGCCCTTCCAAACCCCGTCCATGCTGTCGTCCCCGTGGTCCATGTGGTCCCCGTGGTCCCCGTGGTCTCCATGGTGAAATTCGTCTGAGTGGTGATGTCCCACTAAGGACTAAACAGAAGAAACGTTTTAGTTAAATAAAGCAGCACACGAGAACAGAGAAAAGCTCATAGTTTGTCTGTGTGCTGAGACCTGAATTCTGTTCAACTCTGAATATGAAATTATAAATCTCTAATTGAGTCTTCGTGAAGCATCGGAGGGAAGGCAGAATACTAATCATCAGAAGGTGAACTTTAAAATTAAACTTTAAAAACACAGAGGAGCACATTCTGGATTTGTTTTTGAAGAGGAAACGTTTGAGTAACAGTGAATCACTACATTATGAGTTAATTTATTTGATTTGTTTATTTGTTTTTCAACCCACTTCTATGTTTTGTCGGCCTCTGTAAGGCTCTGAGTGAGTGACAGCGGGATTTAAAAGGCCCATATTAGACTATTTTTTAATCCATGTTATAATGTGTTTTGTTTCCTTGCAGATTTAGGCAAATTAGGAGTTCTTAAACTAAAAGGTAAAAGCAGCTGTTGACTTGAAAACTCACAAGGTGGAATAAATCAGGATTACTCAAACCGTGTGTGAATGAAACAAAACACAACTCCAGGCTTGTTTTTGAGGAGGTACCCACATTATAACACGGCTTAAAGCTCACAAGAGTGTATTTTGTGTGATATAAGACGGTTGCTCACATGAGGGATGAGGTGCAGGAAGGCGTCTCCACTCAGCGTGCCCACAGCCAGGGCCACCAGGAAGCTGAGCAGGAAGTTGAAGAAGACCTTGTTCATGAGCGGGATGAGGACCACTCCCAGCAGAGACAGGAGGCTGATGATGGTGATGGAGGTGAAGCCCCCCGCCCACGCTGCACACACGGTACAGAGAAATATTAACTTCAAATTCAATCTTAGTCACTCTGAAAAAGGTCGATAGAAGCAGATTTCGTCTAATTGCACATTGGAAACAAAAAAAAACCCAACAGTTTCTTGAATTATCATAATACTTTTTATAGAGATCTGAAACTGACATCAGATCTTTGGACCAATTCTGAAAAAAAATTGCTGGATCGCATATCGGCTTCTAAATATCGGTTCAGTCGATATCCCGGTTGGACATAAATTTTAAAAATGCCCAGAAAGTCTCTTAATTTCTACAAGGTTGCTCTGTAGTTACTTGAAAGCTAAACAACACTGACATAACACATGTGGATCTGTTATGTTTTGTCTTTTATTTTTTGACTTACAGGAAATAAATCCTGTTTTCAGTCTTTGCTCTGGCGTTGGCTGATATCAAGAATCGTCAGATAGATAAAGCCATAGTATCGAAATCAGTATCGGAACTGAAAAAGCTAGATCTGTACATTCTTTTTTTTCCCCACTATTTTTTTTCCATGACTTTTTCATGACCTTAAGTGAATTTTCCATGACTTTACGGCACCTGCATGTGTAGAATTGATCAGACTTTTAGGGCTAAATATGAAATGTTAACCCTTTCCACTCACCTTATGGTTTGGTATTATAGTTTTTTAACATTCAGAATCCTGTCAGTGCGTTTATTGTCATCAAAAAAGGCGCATACGTTTGGAAATTATCATAATAGCCTAATGATAACTTAACAGAACACTGTAGCTGTGTGAAAGACATAATGTATGTTTCAGACTATAAGTTGCACTTTTTGTCATGGTTTGGGTGTTTCCTCCAACTTATATGTTAAAATTTTCACACTGACAGTTGCGAGAGGCTCTAGGCTTGTGTGCTCCTGTACCACTATCACTTCGCTCTACTGCACATGTTGGCTGCAGAAGAAAGAGAAAGACCCACTGTTGTCTGGGATCACATCTGTCGATCGCACCATTACTTCTGTATCACTGACTATTTAAATTTAAACAAACATAAAGACAACCGAAACCATCCTGTCGGGATTCAGAAAGGCCGGAATAATTGTAACTGGAACTGATGCTGAGTCTGACGACAGCGACACAGAAGAGGAAGCAGCGCTCTGTTTACCTCCGGAGGTCGACGAGTTGCTCAGAAGTGACACCGAGGATGAAGAATTGAACGGATTTAGTGATTTGGAGTGAGATGGAGAGTTTGTTAAACTTGTTCTGTTCTGTTGTTTATGTTATAGTTTATCTGAAGAACTGTTCATATGTGACGTTAACAGTCTGTTGTTCTCTCTTCTATTGTTATTACTAGAACTTGACTTTCAAGATGAAATGTCAGTTCCTGGTCTCCAAAAAGTCTGACTTGTTTTTTTCTTCTTCATTACACATTTTTGGGCTGGTGCAATTTATAGTCTGAAAAATACAGTACTAAAATTTCATGACTTTTCCAGGTCTGGACTTTTGACTTTTTCCAGGATTTCCATGACCGTGGAAACCCTCTATGTAACTCTTGGGGCGGGGACATTCACGTTGAGCAGGTGTACCTGTGACGACGTTCCTGCTCTCTATAGCAGGGGCGTCGCTGTGCTCCGTGTGGTTGTGGTTTCCATGGTGATGCCTGGATCCGGTGCCGTGGCGGATGCACGCCCCCCGGTCCAGCTGGTCCAGCAGAGAGGGACACAGCAGACTGAAGTCCCCCAGCGTCAGCCCTCCCTCTGCGCTCAACCCGTGAGACGACAGGAGGGTGGAGGCGTTCAGACACTGTGGGAAAAACACACATGTACAGAGATACATTATCATGTATTGGTGAACGTTTCACACTAAAGCCGACATCAGCACAACTCTATCTCTATACACAGAAACATACCCCTGTCCAAATGTTTTTGTCAAAAAGGTGCACACGTGTCGGATCAATAAATATTTACGTCCAGATGACAACGGAGCACTGAGTGAAAACGATGTAATACACATGCCACACCTGTATGTGGTACTGTTAACAATGATAATAATATTTAATAATGCAGATCTTATCGTTTTTTAAACTTTAAGCTAATTAAGTCTATTTTAGATGTATCCCAGAAATATAGCAGTTTTGTTTTTGCAAAAGGTAAACATAAGTTTTCGTTTTTAGCCATAAGATTTGGATGAGAATTATTAGAATAACTTGGTCTCAAAATCCAACAGTTTAATTACTCGTGTGTAATCTTTGTTATTGATCCGTGCGCGTAATCTGCGGTGTGTGTTGTTAGCATTAGCACTAACAGCGTGTCTCAGTTGTTGGGCGACAGGAGTGATTCCGTAGGCTACACCTGTCACATTTCAGCAACAGTCTTGTGGTCTGCAGAGGCTAGTTCGAGGGCTACAGCCTTGCCTTGCCTTCAGAGGACCCTGGTGATGACGGGTTCGCGACGTCATCGTTTTCCAAAAGCTGCGGTTTGCTTTTCCACACGACAACACAACGCCGGCGTTCTCAGATTTCTCCACCCTTTCTCAAAAAACACAATTTTCGCCACCACCCAAGACGCCGGCTCCGTGTGGACGAAAGGCAAAAAAACGAATAAAAACTTCACCAAACTTTTGACCAAAAAACTTTGTCGTGTGGACAGACCCTTAAACACATGTCCAGGGGCAAGATTGACCATAATCTAAATCAATAAATCAAGATGAATGGACACAGTTAGCAAATCAAAGGCTGCAATTTTTGAATCACCATAATTTTATCCACAAACACAATCTCCTGCCTTATTCTGCATAAAAACTGCAAACCCTCTAGTTTAGATCTCTTCTTAAATGTGATTCTTGTATTAGTTTGTCAGTTCATATTTCTTTTGGACATGAACTTTGAACATTAAAACATGACTCACGCATCTAATCTCTATCGCAACGCTTATCAGAAAATTCTATTCAACTATTTTTTTTTTTCTAAAATGGTTTAGCCCTTCGATTTATAAAGGACTACTTCAAATTCTGCACACGGGGGGAACAAATAAAGGGACAGAGACACACATTCTCCAACAAACGTCGCTTATACAGTGAATCATAAAGGACTACTGTACAACAACTCGCAACTCATGAATCAATGCAAACTATGGATCCGAGGAAGACAGTATTTTAACAGTTTCAAGCTGAATCAGACAAAGCCCCGCCCTTTGCCTGTTATTATAAAGAACAGACTCTCTCAGGAAAGACTACAATGAGAAAGCAAAGTAGTATGGCACCCAAGAAACACAAAGGGAGATACTTGGAAAAGCAAAACAAATACAGAGTCTAAGATTATAGTTTCAACCAAAAACAAATAAACTTACACTTGTGAAGCTTTATACTAATGCCAAAAATGAAGATCTCACTGTCAGTGGTGTGTATTTGCTTATTAAACAATGTGAACAGGGGGACTCAGTAGGTGGTCAAATATTTCACAGGTCTGTAACCCAGAATCCAGACCTGGAGCTACAGCAACACGTCATGTAGATAAAGCTGCAAACGCACGTAGCTTTAAATGTGTTACTTTCCATCAGAGTTGCTCCCTCTGCACCAGCCTGTTTATATTCTCATGTTGAAACACCAAACTTTTATATTGCTATGTATTCATTTATTCATTGTTGACTAAACAAACGTTGACCAGAAGTACAATGCACGTGCACTTTTCCCTTTGTTAAATCGTCCTTGTAAAGTTGCTGCTTGAGATTTTTTTATAGTACTGTATATTCCGGGCTATTGGGCGCGCTCTTAAGCCTCCAACCCCATCAAAAAATGACTTGCACGCCCCACAATCCAGAGCGCCCTATACACGAATCCACTCGGGTGTCCCAGTACAACTTCAGTAAACTACAAAGCCGCACCACCCGCAGAACACACAAACACACACGGAGCAGCAAAAAACACCCGCAGCCACACTCATCATTCCACACCGATGAGGAACGGAACGGAGGAACGAACCGAAAAAAGCCAGTGCAATGTGCCACTTCTAGACACGAACTGAACAACTGAGTCACTGCGAACACGCCGACAATCCAGCGGTCCCAGACAGCACCCTCCCTACACGCCACAACTGAACAAAGCCCAGAGTCACCGTGAACGAACAAACAAACAAAACCACTCACCCATCACACTGTTGTGTTTTGTTTAAAGTCCAGTGCGGTTTATTTGTGAAAAAGGTTTGAAAATAGACCATTCTATGACAGTGCGCCTTATAATCCAGAGTGACCTATAATGCGGAAAATACGGTAAGTATTTTATATTTATCCCCACACGACAATAAACTTTTCGTACTCTAGCATGAGTCATTCCCTGAACTCTTGAAGTTATTTTGAAAGATCAACAGAAGTTTATTGTGACACCACAAACTTATTTCTTGTCTTCCCCCTGCTTAAAAATCTGGAGTCACTCTGTTGACGCTGAAAATTGAGAACTCCAACCTAATCTGAGCATCGTGTAGCGTAATTTAAAAGCCAGTTGGAGGCACGTATGTCATCGCTGGCGTAGAGTGTTCGACTGATTAATAATAAAAGCGATTCCGGCACGTATGCTGCACTTCTGAGCTTGTGTGCTCTTATTGCTTTGGTGTAAAATGGGGTAAAAGAAAGAAGCAGTGACCTAAACTCTGGCGTAAACCATGGTGTAACCCTTGGCATAAACCCTGACTTAAACCCTGGCGTAAACCCTGGAATAAACCCTGGCCTACCTGTGAGCGGTCCAGCACGGGGTCCTCCTGCTCGCTGCCGCCCTCGTGTGGCTGGAGGGGGTTGCTCTGGCTGCGTGCGCTGGTGGGCTCCTCTCGTTTCACTCTGCGGACGCCAGAAGCTGTGGTGCTTTCGGGGACCTTGTTCTTCTCAATCTCGTCTTTCCCCATTTTTGTCCCTGCCTCATCGAGCAACTTCTGACTCGGCTTATCGGAACTTTGGTCCTGAGCTTCATTATTGTGCTCATGGTTATGGTCATGTTTGTGGTCGTTATGGTCGTGGTCGTCACGGCTGTGGTCAACATGGTCATGGTTGTGGTCGTCAAGGCTGTGGTCATGGTCGTCATGGCTGTGGTCGTCATGGTCATGGCTGTGGTCGTCATGGTCATGGCTGTGGGTCGTCATGGCTGTGGTCGTCATGGTCATGGTTGTGGTCGTCATGGTCATGGCTGTGGTCGTCATGGTTGTGGGCGTCATGGTCATGGTTGTGGTCGTCATGGTGACTGTCATTATGATCATGTTCGTCATGGCTGTGGTCGCCATGCTCGTGACCGTTGTGGCCGTGGCTGTCCGGCTGCTGGTTCTTGTCCTGTTTGTGGTCCGTGTGATTGTGACTGTGGTGATCGTGGTGGTGATGGTGGTGATGGTGTCTGTGGTTGCCGTGGTGATGGCGGCCCGGTTTCTCGTGGTGCTGAACTGTTACGTTTCGGATCCGGTCCAGACCGAGATTCTGCAGCAGACGCCTGAGTCCGGCCAGAGAGATGGAGCCATTCTCCCCGTACCTGCGACATTTGAGCACAGTGAGCACACGGACAAAGGCGCACTGATGAAACTCTGCAGTATAGACTCTAATCTGATCCATTTTTCAACACAATCTGACCAGAAAGAACTGACTTTGCTGGAACTACAACAGGCGAGATCATGTTTACTGTTAAACAAGTCCTTCTCAAATAACATTAGTCACTGTCATCTTTTGTCTTGAAAATCAAACACCTAAACAGAACCATCACAAGCTCCTAAAATGTGTTGTTTAAATTCATTTTGTATGTTTTCTTGACTTTTCAGAGTTGGATTTTAAACCTTTTTTGGCAGTGTTTCCTAATGTGTACACTGTGTCATCATGGTAACTGCTGAACATTCCACCATACAATTGTACAAACATGTAGAACACGCCCAGCATGATGTCAGTGCAAAGTATCAGTAGCTTTTCGACCGCAAGGCCCGAGTTTTTATATGTACAAATTAACCTCGGGTCCAATCTCATAGTAAAAGCCTGAGAGTATTGGGAGCAGACCTGTTGAAAAGAGCCTCCAGGTGCTGTCGGTGGCTCAGCTCGGCCTTGTGTTGGTCGCTCACCTGGACAGCGAAGGCATCGTCGTGGGGCCACAGTCCGAGCTGCTGGATGGGTCAGCCGGAGCACAGGCCACCAGGAGCACCAGGGCCCAGCAGCTACGCCACATGACCTGCACACCAGACAGAGAGGAAGAGGAGGAGGAGGAGGAGGAGAGGGAAAGAAGATCGGGAGGGACAGAAAAGGAGGAAGGGGATGAGTGGAATCTTATTATAATATTGTGATGGTGCTATGGCTCAAAAGGTCACGGTTATAGGTAGGGAGGAGGATGATTAGTCGACTAATTGTAATTGATGAATCGATTGAATTTCGTCGATTACGTTCATTAATAATCGTGTGTAGGTTACTGTGCGTAGTGTAGTGTAACGAGATGTCTGGAGGAGGTTGCGTCTGACAGTGCAAATACTGGAGTTGTGCCTCACTGCCCCACATCTCAGCTCTGGCACACCTCCATGGAGATCACTGTATCGCTCAATGAGTGCGTTTACATGCACATCAGTGTCCCGGGTATGATCGGGTTTTTTGAGTATCCCGATTTCGTCATGGTGCATGTTTACGCGGTATCCCGGTTACTGTAACATAAAGATCTGCACTAAACCTGCACATGTCTAATTTCAGAAAACATTAACCATCTTCAACGCGACACACACACAGAACAGACTCACCATCACCATCATCATCCCTCTGTCACAGAGAGAACACTCATATTCCACTGAGTCGTGTCCTTTAGTCCGACAGAATCTGAACCGCATCATCGCACAAGGAAAGAGCCGTTTTTAATCGCTTATAGTTTACGCAAATTCGCCATGCGGTTTTAAGTTTCGTTTCGGTAAAACGTCAACAAATGTGTCAAAGCTGCGTTAAACACAGTATAATGTGAAACAGGCTGATGTGGCTCTAGAGTGGTTCTGGTTTATATGTTGTAAAGTTGAGTTTATTTATGCAGATTAGTAATAGTAATAATAATGATGATACTTTTAATATAAAAAACTTTAAAGATTAATCGAAAATGTATCGTTAATTCTCACGCTGACCGATTGAACTTTTGAAGTGTAAAGTTTTGAGCGAGTGTTGGAGAGCTCTGCTACAGATTATGTGACCTTTGCAAAAGAAGCTTTGATTCGGTTCTGCCAGAGTATTTCTATCACACGCAGTTCTGACAGACAGCCAACAGATAACGCTGTTCTCTATAACAGACAGTGCTTTGAAACGGTGTCAGTCTGAGGAGAAGATTAAAAGTGGTTCATTTATTCGTGAGGTTTCAAACTCCCCATCAGCTAGAGTATATGTCAGGAGGATAAGTCGCTCGCTGCAAAAATAAATGTTTTTGTTGAATAAATGCAAAGCTGAAATCCAGTTGGTTTAAGCCTAAAAATGCCTCGCTCTGATCTGAATGGTCTCTATCTAAACCCCAGCATCTACAGCCAAACTTTCACATGAGGCCTGGTCTGTCCATATACTAAGAATGAGACAAACTTGTATGTGGCTAATATCTGCAGGTTAAGGCACAACACAGGTTCAGCTGTGATGGTAGAACATTTGTTAAAACTGTTGGAGTGCAGCCTACACACAGTTCCATGAAGAGGAGTGAGGAGCATGCGGTTTTGACAGCCTCCTCCACAACGCATGCCACAAACTCTGGTTCTGTCTCTTGAGGGTCGTCAAAAAATGTTGATACTCAGATACTAACTGATACTAAATTTGAATCAGACTATGTTGACATTTCAAAAGTTCATAAGTTTAAATATTAAGCACTTATGGGCCACACTGATGTTTTACTGTGTGATGTACGTCAGAAGCTCCTGTTAGACTTTTAAAATGATCATTGTTTCTAAATCTTAAAACTAAAACTAAGCCTTTTGCTTAGTATCAAAATTGTGTTTGAATTTGAAATGTGCAAAACTTTAGGGGGCAGAATTGCAACTTGGATGTGTAGAGCTTGTTCAAAATTGTCCTTTTGGTGCCAGTGTTTGGGGGGTAACAGATTACATGTACCGGCGTTACGTAATCAGAGTACAAATTATGAGTAACTGTATTCAGTTACAGTTACTGTTTCAGTGAGTGGTAATTGGATTACAGTTACTTTGTTGAAATAAATGGATTACACGGCGGTATTTTCCAGTTTTGGGCTAAACCAGAACTAAAACCAGGACTAAAACCAGAACTAAACCAGGAGAAAAAACATGTCTATACCAGGACTAAACCAGGTCTAAACCAGCACTAAACTAGGACTAAAACCAGGTCTAAACCAAGACTAAACTAGGTCTACAGTCTGACCTATCAGCAGGGTGGACATAATTTAAGGCAGCAGTGATCTCATATAAAAATCATGTCTCTATCAATAATATTTTTAATCTGGTTAAGTAAAGAATGGACTTTTTATTTTCTTTTAACAGACAAAACATCTTATGTTCAGATCCTCATCTTTGCTTCTCTACAGCAACCAAAAGTCTGTTCATGGAGACTTGGGCTCAGCCAATTTGAAGAGAACAGACATGGATTTTCAGGATGTGGTTGGTACATTCATGTAGTTTTAAAAAGCATGACAATATCAAGTAATCCAATACATTTTAAAAAGTAACCTTCCCAACATTGTCCAATCTCTAAAAACTAAAGAAGTTATTATGGTGTTAATGAGAGTCCGTCCCTGCACATTCAACAGCTTTTCCTTCTATAATATAAACAACTGAGTCACTGCGAACACGAAGACAATCCAGCGGTCCCGGACAGCACCCTCCCCACACGCCACAACTGAACAAAGCCCAGAGTCACTGTGAACGCCACAAACAAAGTCCCACTGACCCATCCAACTGTTGTGTTTCGTTTAAAGTCCGGTGCGGTTTATTTGTGAAAAAAGTTCGAAAATAGACCATTCAATGACAGTGCGTCTTACATTTTCCGGGCTATTAGGAGCTCTGGATTATATTTGTTCTTTTGTTCTGGCTGGGTTACAGCAGTACCAGAGCTTCAACTGGAGATGGCGACAACATTTGAACAAGTTTACCTTTGTCTGAAATTCTTATGTTTAATTTGTAGGTGTAAAAGTTAGTCCTTTAGACAGCACAGACACTTGGGCAGATGGGGATGCCAGATACATTTATCGTTCATTCTCGTTCTGCTCCTGTCTAGTTAGTTGTCTTATTTTTCTTTGTTCAGTTAACATAATCATTACTAATCATATTACAATGATTTAACACAAACATTATGCGTAGCTCTAAAACTATTATACCTGTACTGACTTGTGTTTTCTTCTGCTCCTTGGTCTTGCGTCTAGGCGCCTCCGAGTCCGCTTGTCTCTTTTTGGTCTTGAGTCTAAAAAAGTACTTAATAGCTGGTCTTCTACTTCGGAGCACTCATCCTCCCTGGATACTTTTTGTGTGTGGATTACTCTTATAGCTTGTCTTGTCAACATTTGTCCTCCATAGGTACACCATAGTTTATGTGTTTTGGGTACTGGTTATTGCATCATAGGTTCAGACACTTTGCTGAGTGAAGATCAAACACAAACACATGATGCTAAAAAACTTTTTCTAGGCCTGAAAAAGCTTCTGGAAAAAAACTGAAGTTACACCTACCGTATTTTATGGGCTATTAGGCGCTCTGGATTATAAGACGCACTGTCATTAAATGGTCTATTAAAACGAAACACAACAGTGTGATGGGTCAGTGGTTTTGTTTGTTTGTGGCGTTCACGGTGACTCTGGGCTTTGTTCAGTTGTGGCGTGTAGGGAGGGTGCTGTCTGGGACCAACGGATTGTCGGCGTTTTCGCAGTGACTCAGTTGTTCAGTCGTGTCTAGAAGCGGCACATTGCACTCGCTTTTTCAGTTCTTTCCTCCGTTCCGTTCCTCGTCGGCGTGGAGTGATGAGTGTGTCTGTGGGTGTGTTTTGCTGTCTGCTCCGTGTGTGTTTGTGTGTTCTGCGGGTGGTGCGGCTTTGTAGTTTACTGAAGTCGTGCTGGGACACCTGAGTGGATTCGTGTATAGGGCGCTCTGGATTAAGGGGCGCGCAGTTGTTTTTTTGATGGGGTTAGAGGCTTAAGAGTGCATTTAATAGCCCGGAAAATACGGTACATATAGAACAAATATTTTGACTAGGGGTGTCACACATACATAGACATAGATACACAGATCCAGCCCTCCAAGATATTTAACCTGGCCCTAGGCTGATTTTCTACTAAACTATTTAAATTATATTTTCTGTTAAAATATTGGTAATTTTCTGTGGTGTTTATCACAGCAGCGTCTCCAGTGTCTCTGTACGTGGCCCCTCCCACCAGAGCAGCACAAATGAAGACTTGTCTCTTTCCAAACGCTCTTAAAGGACGATCGTTTTGACTGTTGACCTTGACACCCTCATCGGCAAAATGTCAAAAATGAGAAAAATGGACGCCGAGTGCAGGATTTGCCAAGAAAAATTGAATTATTCCTATTTTGCAAGTTAATGTTAAAACTTTGTGTTGAAATTGAATTTATCTTAAAGTTTCAGGTTGTTCATAATATTTTGTAAAAGAAAGAGTTCATCAATTAAAAAAGATTTCTGTAATAGATTTGCATTTTTCTGCACAAATATTTGAACTTATTTCTATTTTTTGGGGTATATATGCCATGAGTTTTCTGATCCGGCCCCTTTGGGATCAAAGTAGGTTGGATACGGCCCCTGGACCAAAATGAGTTGGACACCCCTGATTTAGACAATAAGACTAAACCACAAACAAGAAGTGTCCTCGCTGTTGCCGAGCAGTGAGGATGAGCATTCCGGAGTAGAAGGCCAGCTCTAAAGTACTTATTCAGACTCAAGACCAAAAAGAGACAACCGGACTCAGAGGGTGACAGACATCTCAAGTTTGCCCTGATGAAGCCGAAGAGCCGAAACGTGGTGGTGTCATTTTAACTTTATCTGCTGTAGTTCTTCCATGACTTCACATGTGTAAAAAGACATATGTTGACTTCATAATTAGTTGTAGGAGATGTCCTCAGTAACATATTTTGAAGGGTGATATATTGATGAGGAAAATAAAGACAAAAAACAAGAATATTTAAACTATTTTAACAGTACAATATTAGGCCTATCATGTTCATTACGATATCAACTTATTGTTTAATATATAGAAGCGTTAAAAAGATTGTTTGGGAGCTCTGTGTACTTTTTCTTTGCAAAAGTGCAAAGATTTTACCCATTTTTATGTAATACGATAAGATCTGAGCTGTAAAAGGTAGAAAAATTGCTATGGATAATTATTACCAGGTCATTCTGCCATTTATTTGCTGCAGCTCAGGCCTTTAAATGACACTGTATTTAAAATGGTTTGGGATCATCTTGCTTTGTGTCATCAGAGGCATAAAGTAGTTTTAGTATTAACATTACCGTATTTTCTGCACTATAAGGCGCACTTTAAAGCCTCTAATTTAATCAAAAACGGATTTATAATCCAGAGCACCTTATATATGAATTTATTTGTGTGTCTTAGTACGACTTTAGTAAACTACAAAGCCGCTCCACTTGCAGCATTACGGCTCCTGTAGTCAGGAGCATCAGGAGTAATACATTTAATATCAAAATGCACCTGTCAAGAGACACGCTGACAACGCCCACTTTAACCTCAAGGCTGTTATAAAGTTAAAGTGCGAGCTGCGTGGGAGCACCGAGACAGGGAGACAGCGCAGAGCGACTTGCGCCACGATCTCTCAACGGATCATGGACGCCCGGGCTAAGGATCAGTATCAACTGTGGTCCGAGTTTTCACCAAGACCGGAATCATCACTGAACTCCAGGGAACAGTAACCACACTGACTCAGATAATGATGAGAGGGATGTGGGCGTGCTGGACGTCGTAATCGAGTTACTGTGAATATTCTAGCAATTTAGCGTCTCAGACAGGATTTTTTTACACATTACAATTGAACAAAGTTGAGAGTTATTGTGAAAGTGTTAAATAAAGTTTGACTGACTTATCTAACTGTTGTGTTTCGTTTAATGCACCTTATAGTCCGGTGCAGTTTATATGTGGAAAAAAGTTTGAAAATAGACCGTTCAATGACAGTGCACCTTATAGTGTGAAAAATACGGTAAATGTGTTATCATGACAGGCCTATACAATAAAGTTAAATAAACATTAGCTGCAAAACATAAACTGCAGAATGAAATACTTGGGTATTTATAATTAGTTGGATATATCTAGAATGAGTCATACTTGTTACAGTTATTTCTTCAATCCTCTTCACCAGAAATCTAAATCACTGTACAGAAAAAGAACAAAAACTCCCTCACTAAGTACAAAAAAATTTACCCGTGACAAATACTGACTCCAAAAACGACAGTCCGATAGTCACTATAGTAATTATTTTCACAGGATTTATTTATTAATGATCACACAATAATACCAACTAAAACAAAACTAGGGTGAGCTAACAATAACTGAAATATCGTGATATCGTATCGTTAAAGTTCTCACAATAATATCATGGACCAACACAATATATCAAATCACAAGTCTCTTTGCTTAAATTAAGAGTTATGGTGCAGCAACAGCTAAAAAATGACAGAACTACATTGACCATGATCCTTTGCTCCAGTTCAGTGCAGACTACAAGAAGAAATAACAGTTCTAAGCACTTTAAAGGAAAAAGCAGCATATTAACAGTTTTGTTTGAGCCATTTTAAACTCATCTGGACCTTGGTCATTTCTCTGTGATTAGTCTGTAGATAAAATTACTTCTCACATTAGCTTATAAATAATTACAAAAGAGCAGATCCAATAAAACAGCCAAAAGTCCCATCACAGATAATATTCCCAACAACTGTACAAGAAATCACCCTAAAGTAACGTAACATTTCATTCTGTCTTCCCATGACTTCTTGAATAAAGCTGCGATGTTATATTTTATTACTTCTCTATTTAATTCTGATTTGTACATTTACATTTATATGTGGTCCTGAAGAAGAGAACTGACTAAACCAGGACTAAACCAGGACTAAACCAGGAATAAACCAGGAATAAAACCAGGACTAAACCAAGTCTAAACCAGGTCTAAAACCAGGACTAAACCAGGACTAAAACCAGGACTAAACCAAGTCTAAACCAGGACTAAACCAAGTCTAAAACCAGGACTAAACCAGGTCTAAATCAGGACTAAACCAAGTCTAAACCAGAACTAAACCAGGACTAAAACCAGGTCTAAACCAGGACTAAACCAGGTCTAAATCAGGACTAAACCAAGTCTAAACCAGAACTAAACCAGGACTAAACCAAGTCTAAACCAGGTCTAAACCAAGTCTAAACCAGGACTAAACCAGGTCTAAACCAAGTCTAAACCAGGACTAAACCAAGTCTAAACCAGGACTAAACCAAGACTAAAACCAGGTCTAAACCAAGTCTAAACCAGGACTAAACCAGGTCTAAACCAAGTCTAAACCAGGTCTAAACCAGGACTAAACCAGGTCTAACCAGGACTAAACCAAGACTAAAACCAGGTCTAAACCAGGACTAAACCAAGTCTAAATCAGGTCTAAACCAGGACTAAAACCAGGTCTAAACCAGGACTAAACCAGGTCTAAACCAGGACTAAACCAAGTCTAAACCAGGTCTAAACCAGGACTAAACCAAGTCTAAACCAGGTCTAAACCAGGACTAAACCAGGTCTAAACCAGGACTAAACCAAGTCTAAACCCAGGTCTAAACCAGTCTAAACCAGGACTAAAACCAAGTCTAAATCAGGTCTAAACCAGGTCTAAACCAAGTCTAAACCAGGACTAAACCAGGTCTAAACCAGGACTAAACCAAGTCTAAACCAGGTCTAAACCAGGACTAAACCAAGTCTAAATCAGGTCTAAACCAGGACTAAAACCAGGTCTAAACCAAGTCTAAACCAGGACTAAACCAAGTCTAAACCAGGACTAAACCAAGTCTAAACCAGGACTAAACCAAGTCTAAACCAGGACTAAACCCAGGTCTAAACCAGGGCCAATTTGAAGAGAACAAACAAGAATTTTCAGGATGTGGTTGCTACATTCATGTAGTTTAAAAAAACATGACAATATCAAATAATCCAAAGTATTCAGATTACAATACTCACTTTAAGTAAATTAACAAATTACGTTACAAACTACATATTGGGGTATGTAATCTGTAATCTGTAGGGGAATACACTTTAAAAGTAACCTTCCCAACACTGTCTGAAATCCTGCAATTGCTATTCCAATCTCTTAAAACTAAAGTTATTATGGTGTTAATGAGAGTCCGTCCCTGCGCATTCAACAGCTTTTCCCTTCTATAAATGTAGATGCTCATCCTAACAATAATTGGAAAAAGAAAGAAAGAAAAATCTGTGATCAAATGTCATGCAAATGTACAAACTTTAATGAATAAGACTGTGACGTGAGAACCAAACATGGGACCAGCTCCACCGCTTTAAATCGCCCAAATATCACTTCCTGATTAGTTTGTGGTCACTGTCAACAAAATAAAGCACTGCAGTCATCCCTCCACAGTGTTTACGCATAGTTTAAATCCAGACATGATCATTCTGTGCCCGCTTTTAGCCACGCTCAGTGAAACGCAGCTTAACACGCGAGTTTGATCCATCTATGGAGTTAGCCTGTTAGCTTCTGGGTTAGCATGTAGCCGCGTGTGGCTGCGGGCGCTAACAGAGGCACAAGCCGAAGCGAGCTGAGGCCGGGGCCCAGTCGCATGAGGCGGCCGCGACCGTCCCAGCGCGTCCGTGAGCCCGTGGCAGTGTTCGGAAATCGCGAAAAGCCCGTCGTTCCGCAGCGTCCGCCCCGCGCCGACGGCCCCGCGGCGGAGGTAAACAGAGGCACGTTGTTCTGTGCGCTCGGCTCTAAACTAAACGCGCTCCCCCAATGCAGTGCCGTGTGCAGTGCAGCGCTTGGGCCGTGTGCACGCAGCCTTTTGAGGAAACCCGGGAACGGCGCGAGGCGAGCGGACATACCGCACGACGGCGCGACGAACGGCGCACGGCGGGGTTTGGGGCACTCACGGGGGGTTGGAGCGCTCGGTGTGGCTTCGTCGCAGATCCCCGGGGTCGTCTTGGAATGTGGCCGTGCCCCGTGGTGTGAGGAATCAGCCCGGATTTGGTCCGCTTTGGTCCGCTTTGGTTTAGTAGTGCTTCCAGCCAGGGGCGTTCACGTGCTGTCGGAAATGTGACGTGCGAGTTGAGAAGAGGAGGGAAAGTACAGGATTACATTTTAGACTAAACTAAAGACCACACTGTCATCAAGTCACTCCTTTCTATAAATATTCTCAATGTACAATGTTTTTGGTTTTTTTCTAGAACAGTACAAAGTTCACCTTACTTAACTATATTGACCCACAAGGGAAGTTATTTGGACACAGTAGCTCACACATCACAATATAATGCAATAACAAAGAGTAAAAAATACAAATTCTAAATTAGTAGCAAAAAGATCACAAGAGACAGGTGTCAATCAAGTAAAAAAAAAAAAAGAAAAGGAAACAAATGAACCAGAACAATAACAATATAGGGCCACCTATGATGGCATATATATATATATATATATATATATATATATATATAATATATAATATATATATATATACATACACATACATACATACATCCATTTTCGTCCGCTTATCCGGGGCCGGGTCGCGGGGACAGCAGCCTAAGCAGGGACTCCCAGATTTCCTTCACCCCAGACACGTCCTCCAGCTCCTCCGGGGGGACCCCGAGGCGTTCCCAGGCCAGCCGAGAGACATAGTCCCTCCAGCGTGTCCTGGGTCTTCCCCGGGGCCTCCTACCGGTGGGACATGCCCGGAACACCTCCCGAGGGAGGCGCCCAGGAGGCATCCAGAACAGATGCCCGAGCCACCTCAACTGGCTCCTCTCGACGTGGAGGAGCAGCGGCTCTACTCCGAGCTCCTCCCGTGTGACTGAGCTCCTCACCCTATCTCTAAGGGAGCGCCCAGCCACCCTGCGGAGGAAACTCATTTCAAGCGCTTGTATCCGCGATCTTGTCTTTTCGGTCACTACCCAGAGCTCATGACCATAGGTGAGAGTAGGAACGAAGACTGACCGGTAAATCGAGAGCTTCGCCTTTCGGCTCAGCTCCCTCTTCACCACAACGGTCTGATACAGCGACCGCATCACTGCCAAAGCTGCCTGTCAATCTCACGTTCCGTCCTCCCCTCACTCGTGAACAAGACCCTGAGATACTTGAACTCCTCCACTTGAGGCAAAGACTCCCCACCCACCCGGAGAGGGCAAGCCACCTTTTTCCGGTCGAAAACCATGGCCTCAGACTTAGAAGAGCTGATCTTCATCCCAGCCGCTTCACACTCGGCATGTTTTATATACATATATATATATATATATATATATATATATATATATATATATATATATATATATATATATATATATATATATATATGTATATGTATATGTATGTATGTATGTATGTATGTCATTGGAAAGTGCTCACTTCCAGTAACGCACGTGCAGGTCCCTTCGTGCACGATGTCAAGTAGGTCCTACGTTTTGGGGTGAACAACAATTAGGCTGCTGTCGTGGCCATGGGTAGGGAGTATTATCTGCCCCTCTATATAGTCTGGTGCAGTGGGTGAGCCGAAGGATCCATGATGGAGAGCAGTTTGTCCAGTGTCCTGTTCCTCACTGTGACAAATGTCTCCAGCTCACAGCTGATCGCGATCCTTTAAATCAGACATATCAGACTCAGGCCCGGGTGCAATGTTTAAGCAAAACATTCATTTTAATAAGAAAAGGTTTAACATTACATATCTCAAAAGAAGAGAAAACGTGCAGATGTTGTTGAAATTTTTCAATAAATATTTAGGCCCACGGCTTAGTCCCAGTTAATTTTGGCCTCTGTGAATTTGAGTTTGACACCCCTGGTTTAAATAATCCAAAGAGAAACAATGAGGAAAAACACTGAAATATGAACAAATCTGTTATGAATAACACACTAATGAACATTTCAGAACATTTGTTTTTAGCAGACTGTCAGTTTTAATGCAGAACAAGACAGGAGATTTTGTTTGGAATTCTGATGGGCCTAAAAAATGTGCATTCAAACTGTTCAAACAGTTGTGATACTGATGGGACTTTATGTGCTCTGAATCTTTTGGTACCATTCATTTCAAAGATGGGCTCTTTTAATGTTTATTTAAATGACTCATGAACTCATTTTATCTACAAACTCATTACAGAAAAATGACCAAGGCTCAGATGTGTTTAAAATGTGGGAGAGTTGGAATGATACATATTCTAAATGAAATGTTGCACTCCAAGAAGAAAGATTTGGTTCTTTTAAAGATTTTGATCTGGCTTCAGCCGTTCAAGTTAAGGAAGCATGGCAAAAGAGACGACTTGTTCACAAATATCACATCACTAGATTTCAGATTTCACGTGAAACGAAAAAGGTCAACTTTGATTTACAAATAAAATCACATTTCTCTCCCCTCAGATGAACAAAGTCTTATTGATTCCCATGTTTTTCAGTCCCCTGTGATATTTTTCTTTCCTTTATTTTTACAGATGGACCATGCGTGTCTCTGATTGGCTAATCCACCTGTCAGTCACGGCGATTAGAAAATTGAAATTCAGATCCCAGGTAAATGGACCTTTTTCACACAAATTGCCGGATGTATGGTAAATGTCACTTACAGTTAATGCTTTTCTGTGGCAAAATATCTGTGGAAATGTCTCACGTATTTTCCACCAGCTTCATAAATCTGCCCCATCACCAAATCTTCATCCAGCAAAGTCGAAAAAGGATAAACAGGAAGAATTTATCCACAACTATCAAGGTAAGAAAGACGAAAACGGAAAGGGGAACAACGACGACGCATTAGTGAAACTACTGAGCAAAACTAACGATATGGTCATGAATAAAACACACAAGTAATAAGTAATTCATTAAAAACTAACTTGTTACTTGATGTTCACAGACTGCACAAATCTCTCTGTCTGTGCCGGAGTTTCCCAAACTTTTTTTCTGGGGACCCATATTTTTAAAGTCACAAACCTTCGCGACCCGAGTCAATTATGACATTATTCGTAAATCACAAAATACAGATAGATTGAACATTAATTAGGATATTTTATTGTCGACTGAGTGATCGTGTCTCTCTGAACAATTAGTATTACTCAAGTTTTAAACCATGAAAAACAGTCCCTGAAGCAGCAATAAAAGGATCCATAAGTCGCCTATTTGGACTTTAAATGTAGCCTGTTTCTTTTTCTTTTCAACATTTAACTGAACCAGCAATATTGGAACAAAATAGTCACTCACTCTCTCATGTGTCAGAACTGTATATATTGTAGACGTACATGCAGATCGTGACAAGCCTGATTCATCAGCCGGTTTCACTTTGTGGAAACCGTCTGACCTCACAGCGGTAAAATTCGTTCGCTCGATGGTAGGCGGGTACTTTTTCAATTTAACCAATCGCTGCTATTTGGTCGTGACATATGTAATGCGCCGCTAACTGGGCTGACTGGTATATTAAAGGGACAGTTCGGAATTTTGGACATAGGACCTCGTTTCCTAGTGAGCCAGAGTGTCGGAGACGTGCGGAGACACTTTTTTAAATATTCCATCCAGTCCAGTCTTACCCACTCCACAAAACACCCGAAACAAATCTATATTATTACACCAGACTGTCCATGTGAATGTCTGTGTTGATAGAATAATTTTAGAAGTAAAACCGATCTTGCATTTGAAGGATTTATGAGCAGCAGCAGTGAGTTGTACTTCTTGATAAAAGCTCGGCAGCGGCGGACTGATATATGAGAAAATAGTCCCTCCACATGCGACGATTCATGCGATGCAAAGGTAGTTTTATTTCCAACATTATTGTATCAACACAGACATTTACATTGACAGTCTGGTGTAATTATTGAAGAATACTATCTCTCAGGCTTAAGAACTGCATAGGTGTTCGCTCGGATAGTGATTTTCGCCTTGGAGTGCTGGTCAGGACACAGGAGACAGGATGCAGTTGGTAAATTTAGGAGGTTTTAATGAAGCTCAGGCATCATCATAGAACATTATTGGTTGTGTGGCCTATAAAGAAAAAGAATACACCAATTAAGTTACTGTATTACAGTGATAAAGTAAAAGATGTACTGCTAAACATATAACAAACATAAATAGTAAACATGGACAGACTAAATAAGAACAGAATAAAGACATATATAACTACAATGAACATACATGGCATGACACACGAAAAATAACATTAGCATATAAGCTTATAAACTTAACCAAACAAGTATTACAGGAACATGAACTACACACCCTGACATGAGTAAAACAATAACAAAGGACTTATTATTATAAAACGTCCACACAGCCCCGAATGCCATAAACTTACGTTTTGTCAACAATGCACAACTTGAGCTGACGGTAGATTGCCTGCACACCCGAGCCGCGTGAACTAATTAAGACAGTGGTGCCGTGCGCTCTGAACTAAAGCATGCGCAGTGTTGGGAAGGTGACTTTTAAAGTGTATTCCCCTACAGATTACAGATTACATACCCCAAAATGTAGTTTGTAACATAATCCATTAAATTACTTAAAGTGAGGAACGTAATCTGAATACTTTGGATTACTTGATATTGTCGTGCTTTTTAAAACTACATGAATGTAGCGACCACATCCTGAAAATTCATGTTTGTTCTTTTCAAATTGTTTGTTGAGTCCAAGTCTCCATGAACAGGCGTTTGTTTACTGTAGAGAAGCAAAGACGAGGAAATCTTAATATAAGATGTTTTATCTGCTAAAAGAAAATAAAAAGCCCAGTCTTTACTTAACCATATTAAAAATATTATTGATATAAAAATGATTTATCTATATAAGATCACTGCTGCCTTAAATTATGTCCACCTACTGTTAGGTGTCATATTGTTAAAACCTGGTTTAGTCCTGGTTTAGTCCTGGTTTTAGTCCTGGTTTAGTTCTGGTTTTAGTCCTAGTTTAGTCCTGGTTTAGTCCTGGTTTTAGTCCTGGTTTAGTTCTGGTTTTGGTTTAGTTAGTCCTGGTTTTAGTCCTGGTTTAGTCTGGTTTTAGTCCTGGTTTAGTTCTGGTTTAGTCCTGGTTTAGTCCTGGTTTAGTCCTGGTTTTAGTCCTGGTTTAGTCTGGTTTAGTCCTGGTTTTAGTCCTGGTTTAGT